GTCCCTTCCGACCCTAGAAACTATGAAACTATGAAACTATGAATTCTGTCCAACTCAATATACTATTTACTGAATACCAGCATATTTGTCATGGGCTCATATATCATTGCATCTGTAGTGATACAGACATGTGTATGCCTTTTATAATATTTATTTTCATATGTAGACAAAATGTATGGAAAGCTGTGATGCTCATTGTTGTAAATGCTTCTTTTTTTTCTTCAGGTTTGACACCTACAAAGTGAAAGGGGAAAGCTCACGTCTTGTCCAGTATTTGAGTGAAGTTGCTAATGGCATGATCCTCTCAGTCGCAGTGAATGATGAAGGATCTAGAAACTTAGATGACTCAGCCAGGAAAGCAATGACCAAACTGGGCAGCAAGCATTTCCTCCACCTTGGGTTTAGGTATGTGCCAGTTGTCCCAATTCTACCAGCACAGAGGCTTTATTATGCTCTCCATGTACCCAAATAATTCCACTCTCTCAAAGGCATGAAGTTCTTTCACTCTGAAAAGTTTTCCTTTTTTCCATATGAAGTTTTAGCAGTTTATTAGATAATTTAAGATGCCTATATTGGGTATTTTTATTAGGACATTGAGGAATAACATGATTCGTCTTAAAAAGGATGCATTTTTTCCAAGACATTAACTCTACAAGTTATTTGTTCCTATTTATTTTCATGCTTTACTCTTGAGATTTCAAATACATATCTAAATAACTACAATGCCCTGTACATTTATCTGCTGCACAGTGCACATGTGTATTTCCCTTAGTATAATAGCCATATGCCCCTGACTAAATATATATATAGACATTATATGTAATATGTTGTTTAATTAGTTCAATGCACATTTGGGATTTATACAGCCCATAATTTAGCATGCATAACATTTACTTTGTGGACTGTAAAAATTCTTTTGGCCAATAGATTGTATATGTTGGCGCACCTACTATTTTCAATAATATGTGCCTTTTACCCAGTTGGTGCCATTATAATTTTTTGAGTTTATCTGAATGTAGGTACTTTAAAACAAAAAAAAGTCTGCGTTTTGTTCCCATATGTTTCATAATCCCTGCAAGGCACCAAAAAGTCATTGTGGGATATAAAAAAAAAAAAGCCTTCATATCATGGATAACTGATCCAAAAAACAGCCTATGGGAGCATATATTTGTCAATTTGGCACCTGAAAATGTAGTATATTTCAGTGTGGTAGGCAGGGTAGCTTAGCTGGGAGGTTGCTGTAAGTGTTACAGGTTGTTGTATGCTCGGTGTTGAGAATTCCAAAGGAAATAATCCCGTTTGCAAAAATAACCCAAAGAAAAGCCTGTCTCTACCTTTGAAATATTTCCTCTGAGATACCTAGAGCCCATGTTATGGGTCACTGGCCTGCCAGCTTTCTGTTTAAAGACTAGAATTAGGGAAATGGAAAACGACTTTGAAAATTCTACTTTTTTCCCCCAGTCCTGCAAAAGGAAAAAAACAGGCTTTTTCCCTGCCATGAATTTGTAAAAGGAACTTGCCCTAGGTATTTTTAGACCATGGCAGTGATTTAACACTTGTTTTTAACACCCTTACATAGGTGTTTGTAATGGAAAAGCCTATACAAGTTGACCTATAGAAGGGTGACTTTCAGCACTTCCATGAACTAGCGGTTGCCATCAAAAAACTAATGCTCGCCACAGTGGGTATCTGGAATAATACAGCATTTCACTGTATTTTAAAATATGAATTAACAATGTCATTGGGGTACCACAGTGTGGCAATAGCTGGCAAATGCTGACTGGTTAGTGGTGACTGCTGTATAACAGATGAATTTGCAAAAATACTTGCAATCCCTCTCTGCTAATTAAGGGATGCCATTTTCAAGTCTTAGGCACCTAAGCTTTGCTCAGTTTCTTTGAGGTTTGGTTACCCATGTCTCTTGGAGCCAGAGCTATTTAGGGACCAAAAATGCAGATAGATGCCTAGCACCCAAGGGGGTTAGCTACCTAATTCACTTAGGCACTTTTGTAAGTATTTCCATTAAATCCCCCAAGACCTATGTAAATGTGACCCTGCAGTACTTTTCACAGCTTTCTTTGAAGGGTTTTTTTTAAAGTGCTCACAAGGGTAAAATTAGCAAAGACTCCATGTCTCAACATGCCTCAGTGCCTGATTCTCAGTCAGAAGTCATTATTCCTTGAAGGCAGTATTCCCTGGGTTTTGCCTGAGTAAAAACTAAGCTTTAGCTCACAAAACTGTGCTAGAGATGGGCTGAAGCATAACGAAGCCTCCATCCGCAGCCAGATCACAAATGGTACAGCTGCCCCCTTTCTCTGTATCTCCACCCCTGACTGGAAATCATGCTAACTTGGAAAAATTCGCATTTGAATTTTGCACCTTGGACTCATCTCTGTTCTATACAAATACTGGAATGCAAACATACATTTGTATCAGATTGAGATCATTTACCTCTGAAATATCAGTTAGTGAGGACCAGCAGCTGGATATGGATATTTTAGTGTTAGTTTTGAACTGGTGCCTCAATAGTGCACATAATGCATACATAATTGTTTAATCATCCTTGGAGTATGAACTCTGGGCTGGCTGGCTGTACTTCCTAGCAGAATTAGCATCTTTCAGGGGACTAGACATTTAAGCACATTTTTAGCCCACTAAACAAAACAAGGTCCTATGAAAGGCAGAAAGTTTCTGCTCCTTCCTGACAGCATCAAGCACTGCAGTTTTGTGAACATGACTCTGGGAAATTTTCTATATTATAGATCCACTGTCCGGGTGGCACTGCAAAAGAGGAGTCTGACAATGGACTCTGGATGGATTGCTCTCTCCCTCTCGCTGATCACCCTCAAACATCTGTTGGCTTTCTGGCTGGCTGACAATACTAAATCAAACACCTGTGTGCCTGATCTGCATAGTCCCGTGTGTCCCGCTGGTGGCTGAATGCAAATGTTGCTGAGACAATACCTGGTGCAACCCTAGATAGCAGTTTTGGATAAGATCTATTTGTTCCACATTTTGGAAAGTGTCAAATGAGTCAAGCTATCCTCCAGTCACCTCCTGGGTAATTTTTTAGTGCCTCTGGTTAGGAGGGATGACAGACAAATATTTATCTCTGTATTAGTCTCCACTTTTTTGTTATATTAGCCCAGATCCTGTGTTTGTGTGAATCAGCGTTGCTCCCATTAAAAGAATGATGCTGATTTATACCTGCTGAAGATGCAACCTATGGCAAATGCTTGTTATCCAGATGCCAAATCCAAAAAATCAGAATGAAAAAAAACCCATATTTTCTTCCCTGCTCCTTGTTTTGTTGAAAGATGTGTGTGTCTTTAAATAAGGAGCTATATTTATACTAGCAAATTAGGACAGACTTTTAACACTTGTGGACACAATTCTTCAGACTGGCAGCAGTGGTGGCCCTGTAGATTTGTGCTGGCATAAACAGCAGCCACACTTGGTTGTTACATTTCACAACAGCAAGATAAATGATATGTGTGCATTAAGGATGAACTGACCTAAAAACAGTCAGTCATAAACTAACTCAAAGAACCAAGTACTGGGGAAAATGAAATGGGCCTGAACATTTAGTTTAAGAACAAGTTCTTAAATCTTTAATTTTGTAAAATCCTTTTGGACTTTAAAAAAAATAAAACCACCAATTTTTGGTCATTTGTTTTGGAGGGTTTTTTTGGTAAAAAGAAAAAATAGCTAGCCTGCCTGTTGAGTGATAGAGTGTCATTTATCCCTGCATCCTACCCTGCTCCTTCTGCTGGATGGAGATCACAGCACTTCAATGCCTCTGGCAGCTGGTGCACAGGAAAATTTTCCAGCAGAAGCATCTGGATGCCTGACAGACTCCTCAAGCACTTGTGTTGGCAGCTTTGACTTCTCTTGGGTGTGTCCTGTGGTTGGGCCACTGATGAGCTTTTGGGACTGCCATGTCTTAGGAGAAGATCTACCTCTACCTCACCAAGGTCTATGTACTGCCAGCATCCTTGCTATGGATTGTGGGAGGGCCCATGCTTGTTAAGAACTTGCTTCTGCCCATACTGAAGTGAAGGGGATTTTAGTCTTTGATTTCAGTGGGGGAAGTATGGACTCTGAATGTGAGTGATAGCAGATAATACCTAGTACAGTTCATGGTTGGTTTCCAATACCATCTGTGTTTTCCACCCAAAAGCCTGAAGGCAGGTTTCAGTGCCACCCATTCTCCAACTGCCTCCAGAGAAATGTGGGAGGTGCTGCCCTCAGCTTACAGGGTGAAATCCTGACTTTTGTGAAGTCCATGGGAATTTTGCCAAGAGACGGGATTTCAGCGACATGGCTATTTGCGAAATCCAAGCTAAATATTGTGGCCGCTTACCATATTGAAAACCACGCAGTGGCCTTTTTAGTCTGTTGTGGCGTATGCTAAAAGTAACTGCATGTATGGCCAAAGTCTTCTATTTACACACATAACAGAACATCACAGCTAGCAGCAGGAAAAAATCTCCCCATCCTGGCCACTGACTCTTCTAGAGGGTCCGTCTCCAAGGCTAAGAGGGTAATACATTCTCATGCTTATTGGGTTCACGTATTAGTGTTTCTACTGTTATTAGAAACTGTTGAGTAGGCATTAGACCATGCCCAGCAGCAGCCCATAAGATAGCAGCAAACTTCACTAATTACTGACCTCAGGCTAGGTGTGAACAAATCTTTATGCATCATAAATCTTTATTCCTGATCCATCTTCAAAATGAAGAACACTTCTGCTCGTAGTCTGTGTAACAGCAATAGTGAATCTATAGCAAATCCCTGCAATTCACTCAAGGTTGCAGCCTGATGTACAAGCACAATTTGCTCAGCCAAATTTGGCTGTTTTTAAAGTTTTCTTTTCAGAAAAAATAGAAGAGTCATAGCTTCCATAGCTCCCAATACCCTCTGTGCCTATCTTACACAAGCCATTAGACACTCAATTAAAAGTGAAGTCCGTATTTTATAGTTGGTGCTGTATAAATGTATCAAGAAGGGATTTGTCTTTGAACTTCCATTCTCTTGTGGCATATTTAGTAAAGAAATATAAAGTGTTAAGATACTGTTAACGTTAACCAAAATGTAGTGTCACATAAATCAGGCTGTTTTGAATATGGTACCCCAGAGAGAAGAAAACAAATTGTGTTATAAAAAGGCATGCATATAACTCATGAAATAATCTGATCATTTCTCATTTTGTTTTCTCAGGCATCCGTGGAGTTTTATTACAGTTAAAGGAAACCCTTCTGCTTCTGTTGAAGACCACCTTGAATATCCAGGTAATTCACAAGCAAATATTTGCTTGAAGTTATGGGGGGAAATTCATCCCCAGTAAAACTGCATGGAAGTCAGAAGAGTTACTCTAGCGATGAATTGCTCCAGGATGTTTTTTTTACTGAGACTATGCTGCACCGAAGTTGAGAACAGGAAATGGGCAGAAACATTTCATTTGATTTGCTGCCCAAATCTTAGTTAACCCATAGCGTGATGCATAAGGATGGGGTAGGACACAGATGGTGTTTCTTTACACAGAAATACAGGGGCAGATTATCCTCTAGTGTAAATCAGCAGAGCTCCACTGAATCAGATGCATCCAACCACCCTAACATAAATCAATGGAACTATCCCAGCTAACATCTGCTGAAAATGCAAGGCCTGATATTCCACTGTCACAGCCTCAAAAAATGCAGTAACATTATGAGCAGCAAAGTGTTGAGTGTTTGCTGTGGAACAAAATAGTTTTTTCTAAATGGAGATAATGATGTGGTTTATCACAGTATAAGTCAGCAAATGAAAACAACTAAATGAAGCAAAACATGGTTTGTTTAATTGGCTTGATTTGTGCGGAGTTCTTCATCCCTGCAAAAGCAAATGTCCACGGAGCCATAAAGGGCTGAAAAACCATTCCAATAACAGGAACCTTTTGTTTGAAACTTTCTGGGTAATTCCTGAACTTGGACCCAGACCCAAGATATGCAAATGCAGACTTGTTCCGTTGCCCTTTCAGTCTTATCTCCTCTTCTTCGCAGACCCTGCAATTGCTAATCGGTATTGTTATTTACAGGACAGAGGAGGTCAGCCATGGCCAAAGTATTCAAACTATTCCAGGCTGAAAACGGAGAGCATTTTAATGTGTCTTCAACCAGTGAGTGGGTTCAAGGTAAGACATCTGTTGGCCCTTTAGCAACATGATAGAAAGTGATCCAACAGCGCTAGTCAGTTTTTAAATATTTCTGTTTTAGCACATGGAGCACGTTTCCTCCACTTAGCAAGAGTCTGATATCTCTTGTCTAAGTTGCTGTTAACACTAGCAAAGCACATGGACAGATTTTTCTTTGAACTCTTACAAGACCCACTGTATATTTTGAATCCTTTTTAATTTCTGTTTTGCTTTGAATATGAATTTCTATATCTTATGATCAGACAAACACACACACACACATATTTCTTTTGACTGTGGGTGGTTGTTTCAGTTAACAAATGGGAACGGTCTGTTCCCTGATTTGAGTACATAGAAAGAGATCTAGGGAGATGAATACAATCCAAGACCCACAAGCCTTAGTAGTATACATACTACATATTCAAACCATGCAGCTTTTAACAACGCCTCCTTCCCTTGCCTGGCTCCTCTTCACAGCATCACTGAAAGCAGCTGGCGGTGAGGGCCAGGGACTAGGCAGTTTTCAAAGAAACTTGCTAATGGTATTTGCCATGGAATTACACTAAATATATTTTAGTTGTATTAATTATGTGTGACTTTTGGTAAAATAACCTTTCCTGTTTGTCCTTGTCTCCAGACTTAGAGTGGACGAAGTGGTTTGAGAAGCCTGAAAAGGCAAGATCCAAAGACATGGAGAAACTTTCTGACTTCAAGGCAGCCTATCCAAATGAAATCTGTAGTCACCCCCTTGATATCCAGGTAGGATCACATACACACTTTCCCTTGCCAGTTGTACACTAACAGTATAGTAAGCAATCAAATGAAATATCGAAGTCAAGTAGGGTCTATGAGATCTCAGGCCTTGCTGATAGTGTTGTAAGTGTGAATCCTTTCAGTTTCTAGTGAAGAGATAGTGGCTGCCTTATTGCCTTAATACATAGACTGGGCAAGATGCTGGCATCTAACAGGTGTGTATTTTTCAGACTAATGATAAACTCGCAAGGCAGAGAAACAGTGTCTTATTTTAGGCCTTATCTTGCAACCCTTATTCACCTAACCAGACTCCATGAAGTTGATGGGATGACTTGTGTAAGTAAGGGCTGCAGAAACAGGTCTTCTTCAGTAAGTTCTGACTTCTGGAACCTACAGGTAGTCATGGATACTGCAGACACTACCATAAAATATGTGCTTCTCCAAATGAACATGAAGGGAAAAAGGAGGATGGAAACAGCCAGGGATCTAAAATGACCTTGCAAATGGAAGTACCTGAAAAATTAAGTGTAGAATATAATTATATGTTAGAACTACCAGCTGTATCAGATTAGGGAACAAAAGCTTTTGGGGTCTTAGCTATATATTTTTTTTAATCCATAGCATCTCATTGTGGAAAGACACTTGAATTCTGTTCAGTGCTAAACATGCAATTACATCCTCTGGTGCACATGGTGAGAGGAAAACATGTACCTTATTCTGACTCCAAAAGGCTATTTAAGGCAGCTGGGAACCAAAGTAGCTTTTACTGGTAAATGCCAACTACATACTTAGATAGCCAGTTGGCAAAATTCTGCAGCTCAAATTCTTCTTAGCAGAAGACAACAAAGCAATTGGGACCACTGGGATATTTACTGGCCTGAATGTTAAGAGATGTTGGAGCACAAGGAACCTGTTCCTGTAGATTAATCAAAGTCATCTTCACAAGAATAGCTCCATTGAAGTTGATGGGTTACTCATATGAGCAAAGGTTTCAGTGACTAATTCTTAAATTTAATCTCTGATTGAACAATAAGGGGGGTGGAGGGGGAATACTCCACAATCATTTGCAATCAGTGGTAAAACTACGCTCCTAGGAAATTCAGATTTATTTTGGCTCTCATTTCTGTGCTGGATGACAGAATTCTTTTCTGACCCTGAAAGCCATAATTTAAATAATAGCTGCTTTTATTAATGTGTATTACAAGTAAAATAAGAAATGTGATTTTTTCCCCTATGTTCTTGGCAATAACAACCCTTTAGTACACCCTCAGCTGATGAAAATAGTTGGAGCTCTCTGATTTCAACAAATCTATTCTGATTTACATCATCTGAAGAGCTCTTAAAAAAATTCCTGTTTGTGCAAAGAAGATTTGCATGAGTGACAGGGTGCAGGATCAGGCTGCTAATGCAGATGACCACTCACTTATGAGCCTGTTGCTTTTTTAGGCTAAGTGAATGTTAGTGCAAGGATACTCCTTGCAACATATCACATTTTTATGCAGTAGTGAAAACTGTTGCAATCTTGGGGGCTGGATTGTGGTGGTGTTTAATCCTAGCCTCAGTAGGTTGTATCACCCCAACAGAAACAGAGGAGCAGTCCTGTTGCATCATCCCTTGGGACAGCATAGTCGGCTTTAACAGCATACCCAACGGCAATACTATCTAACTTGTATAGGAGCTGTTGGTCCACCCTGTCTTGCTTCTTTTTTGGCAGCCTGTTAGCCCAAGATGTAGGAGCACTCCATGTGCTCCCTGAGGACAAAAAATAGCAGTTATCCCTGGCCCTTGCAAGGAAGGAAGAAGACACCCACGTCTCTCTTCTGCAAGGGTCAAGACACAGTTTGCCCTGGAGCACTGAAATGAGTTCATGTAAGTGCATCCATCTGCGCTCAGAGCTGGAATCTGACCTCAAACAGACAGCAGCATAAAATCTAGGAAAACAAGGCTAGTGAAGGTCAGAATACTAGTTCCAAAAAATACTACCCTAAAATAGATGCAGGAGTGTCACCATGCACCTAGCAATAATCCTTGAGGTCTGTATATACAATGTTATTGTGCATGAACCAGCTAGAATATAACTGGATTTTAAGCAGCTCGTTCATCCTATTCCATTACATCATCTGAACGTGCATCATCAGAATACAATGTAATGAACTTCTCACCATGCCATAGGTGTTGGGTGGAGTACACAAAATCTCCTTCATCTGACTTACCACACTATTTGCATTTCTATTTCCATCATAGGCAGTTACGCTTGATGGAGCTAATTTAACCACTGAGGTTTTCTATAAAAATGGCCATGATTATAGGTTTATATGCCATGGGAAGAACCAGACAAATGAAGGGTGCCGAAACTACAAAGTACGGTTCTTGTGCAGCAAATCTGGTACGTGACTTTTTTTTTTTAAACCAGCTGCCATGTCACTGACAGCAGAAATTCCATTTTGCTTTCTTCTCTCTTTGAGCTGCCTATTGTAGATGAACCAGGAAGTCAATGCCAAACCAAGAAAACAGTTTGGGAAACCTTTTGATTTTCTTGTTGCTTTCTTTGCTTTAATCATGTCAACATCCCTTTGTCCCTTCCATTAAGCTCTGTGACACAGGGGGTTAGACTAGGCTCAATCTAGCCCTAGTCTAGGAAGGAGCCCTTCCTGTCTATGAGAGTAGCCCTTGCTTATTGTAGGCCTGACTTCAGCTTAGTGTAGTTATCCAAGCTGAGGTTTAGCTGCAGCATGGGGGTGAACACAGATACTTCTGCAAAAGATTTCTCTGAAGAAGTTCCTAGATGCTAAGAGCAGTGAGGTGAAAGTATAAGTAACACCCATTAATACTGTAGCAAATACTCTGTGAGACCTATAAACATCTCCACCTTTCATAAAGCATTTCAAGATAGAGAAGGATTGTTGTTCAGCTTGGCAGAAGCCAACACGTTTCAGCAGAAATATAGTCTTCAAACTAATAATTTACTGTATAGTTATTAATGCAAACAAGACTGTCCCCAAATGGGTCATAAGAGAAGATTCTTCAATGATCATCAGCTAGTAGGAAGACAGAGATGGAAGGCAGGGTTTTTTTGTAAAAAACAGTCATTATTTCAAAGGCCATTTCAGCAAACCTTATCGCTGCTGTAAATAACATAGGCTTTTTTTTTGTGTGTTCATTGATTTCACAAACTAACTGCAACCTGGCACGTACCTAGAGGAGCTGTACTGTCTATTAATACTAAACTGATAACTTTTGATAGTGTGAAAAATATTCAGAAAAGCTAGTGGACAAGTTATGGCAAAATGAGCTAAATTTTCTGTCACCCCCTTTTTGGTTTTCAGTGAGACCAAAGCTTACGGTAACCGTTGATACCAATGTGAACAGCATAATCTTGACTCTGGTAGATGATGTGCGATCATGGAAGCCTGGAGACAGGCTTGTTGTTGCCAGCACAGATTACTCTATGTACCAGGCTGAAGAGTTCCAGGTATTACCATGCAGAGCCTGCAAACCTAACCAGGTCAAAGTAGCAGGTAAGGTTTTTTCTTGTCATTCACTATTACTTTGGGCAACTACTCTCATTTGTTCCCAGGCAACTCCATGTGAGTCTGTGGGATTAATCATGTAAACAAAACCTGAATTTCACCTTCTGATTGTTAGTGCCACTGTGAACTTTGCTGTTTGAAAATCATCTAACCTCCATCAGTGACTTTGGTCCCATCCATTGTACCTTTGGATTGTCTGTCTGTCTTCCCTAGAACCTGGCACTTGATCCCTGTCTCCTAAGCACTTTGCAGGGTGTGCCTGAGTTTATATAAATCAGATGATATCAATGCTCGAGACAAGGACTGCTTTCTGAAAAGCACAGGATGATGCATCTCCTTATTTAAAAGACAGATTGGGAAGAACAGCTTGTGGGAGATTTTTAGGGCTATGAATTACAGTACAGCTGGCTGTTTCTGACAGAAAGATATATTTAAGTAGAAAGGTGGCATTGCACTTATGAATACTGTTTTCTTAATGAAATTACTGTTTACTATAGACCGCAATACACAGTGATGATAAATTAAGTTTCTAAAGTCACTTGGTTTACCAGGTTATTTCAAGCCACAATACTTAGATAAACCAGGGGAGTTGTTGGACACTGAGTGAATTGCTCTGAGATGAAATGGGAATCTTTAGTGGAGTAATAATGAGGAAAAAAGTTTTCCTCACTTAGGTGATTAGCTCAGATCTAGAACTAGTTGCTGGCAGGGAAAATCATTGCTACTTCCTGGTTTTTCAGTGGCCTTTATGTACTACTTCCACTTCCCAAACTGCAACCACAACACTGTCAATTCAGCAGAGGGGCAAAGACTTGATGTGAAGAGTCATTGAGGTCATCTTTTCCTCCCAGAATTAGGTTTGGCCACTTGGTTTCTAATGTGGAGATATATTTATCCCGTTAACAATCTGTTCTGTCAAAAGATGAAGGCCTTCCCAGCTCTCCTTTACAACAACAACAACAGAGACCCAACTAGGACATATAAAATGTACCATATTTTAATGGTGTTGGTTTGTCTGGTAGTAATTCAGACACATTACAATGAACTGCCAATATGTAGTTGACAGAACCTAATGGAGAATCAATTTGAGTTAACTTCTGAGTAGTTATTATATACATCGCCAACACCATGTAAAATGTATGCTTGTAGATTCATCTACAGAAAATATGTATGGATTGTCTGAGTGAATGTAATAGTTTGGTTGGCTCTGCAACATGAATAGTTCAGGCACCACTATCTCTGATGCAGCCTCTTAGAAAGATACAAGTGTTTCCTTCTGCAACCACTTTTCAGAAGGAATCTAGTCTGTCATTGTCAGGTGGGCTGAAAGAAGGATAAGAGGGAAGCCAAGAAAAATATTGTTCTGACTTTGAATGCCGCAGAATCTTATGACTTTAAATGACCGCTACTTTCAAAAAGTATATGTCTATGAGCCTAGTGTTATTCTTGAGAAACACTTAAGTTACTGGAAAAAACTGCATCAAACTAGACTGATACAAGTTACATCATGAGAAAAATCTTGGAACATAATCAATAAAAATACAGACCACGGATTAATACTTTTCTAAGAGGCTTTCATATCTTACTTCTTCTAGATAAAAGTTTCCACTGAGTGCATATTAAGGAAATGAACAGAAAAAAGAAAGAGAAATGGTGTACTTCCAAATAGAAATGTACGTGGAAATACTTGTTAGAATATTTGTGCTTTGTGTCTCCAATTAGCTAGGAAAATTTGTGAGACACACTGGAACCAGAGTCTGCCCTGACTTGCATCCATGGACTCCATTGACGTCAATAGGATTTCATTGGTTATATAAGTCAGGGCACAGTGTGGCCCAATAATGAGAATCGCGTCCAACTTTATTCTAGTAAAATCACATAAGCTAAAAATAAAATAAAAGAATTGCACATGACTCTGACATAGTTCAGCCTAGTTTAAAGGGGATCGCATGAAAAAGTGAAATCACGTCCATCTTCACTACAAGAAAAGTAGGTCAGTGCGGTTCTATGGCTGGCTACACTGGGACAGTGGTCCCTTCTCCTTTGGTACTCAGTGAAAATGATCTGCAAGCAGTGGGTCCAATCCTGCTAGTCATTTGTTTTTCTGTCCACCCTTTCAAATTGCTGTGTACCTTCTAAATTTTCCTCACCAGTTCCAGTAAGAGTACTTCATATAGATAAATAGAGATGCATTTAAAGATTGTGACCTCCAAAATATCTGTCCTTTGGAAATCGTTGTTGTCACCTTTAATTTTTAGTTTCTCTTTTATTTTTTTAACAAAACCTAAATTAGGATCTAAATTATTTGACCATGTACTTTTTTAAGGAGGTAACAAAAAAATCCTCATTCTCTGAGAATGATGACTTGATGTAACACTTCCTTGGCATAGCAAAGGTCTAATTATAATCAATGGTCTCATGTTTTAATGTTATTTTAATAGACCCAGCTTTGGATATTTTGCCAAATAGGCCAGACTAGTTAGCTAGCTCATATGCTATTTATATGTGATACTTCTTGCTAAGAAACCATACTCATTTTACTTACTAGAAGTGGCTGCAGAAGAAAAAGGTTAGTATTAGAAGGGACTAAGCCTGGGATTTTGAAGTGAGCTTAAAGGAATTAGATATCAACTTCCAGTGGATTTCAATAGGGTTTGGATGCCTAACCACAGTCCTTCAAAATTCCAGCCTAAACACTTAGACAGGCATCTAAGGACCACTGTTGCAAACACTTGGTTGAGTATTTAGATTGATTTCAAAGCTATTTCTTCCATGAGTAAGAGCTACAGTACTTACAACTCACAAAGGTCGCCCATGCCAGAAAAATTGTCACTAGTTAAAAAGGAACTCTGCCCCTCCTCCTCCTCCTTTGCTCAACCTTTTTCACTTGTCATTTTTGTGTAGATTATTTTCTTGTGTGGGAACTGATTAAAACTGTTTGATGCTTTATCTCTGGACTTCACAAAACATGGGGGGGAGAACAGTGCGAGGCTGAGAGCAAAAGGAAGGAAGGAAGGAAGGAAGGGTTGTGTTATTGTAGTAGAACAGGATAGGAGGAAAGATCAAGTATTTCATGGTTTTCCCGGGTAACCAGCCTTATCTGTATCTTTGTGGCTGTGTATGCAGTTATTAATGATGCTGTTAAGTTTCACTGTAGATTAGCAATGATGAAATACCCTTTTGTGCATTCATAATTCTTGATAAGACATAAAGAAGAAAAAACTGCTTTGTGGCTGACATAATTACTCTAATTATCCCACCGATTAGTAAAACTCTGATTACAAGTGAATCACACATGTTGAATCCAGCTGGTTGGGTTGTAAAGGCTGAGTAATTGTGAAGTTTTACTGGGAGTTTGTGTACTGAGGGAAATCACTGTGAAATAAGGTACAATATGCATTAACAGAACGTAGCTACTGCATGCTAGCTCCCTACCTGGTCACTGTCGCACTGAAATTTCAGGTGCTAATTTAAATTATCCATATTATTTGTGGGTGGGTACCATTTGGCCAGGAAATGTTATGGGTCTATGTTGCTAGTGCCTTTGGGTCAAGAAGGAAATGTCACAAAAAATGGCCCTTCCAGAAATGTTTATGGGCTGCGTCTTCCCTCCTTTGCCCTCGCTTAGAAGCATGTGTAAGAGAAGCTTGAACATATGGACTTCACTTTTTAGAAAGGTTGGGCTAGGCTTAATTGTAGAAATGGAAACTCTTCTTATATTTTAGACACATCGCCCATCCTTTCCATTTTGCACTCCAAATGCCAGGATGCAAGTGTCAAGGTTAAGTAGAAAAAAGTTATGATTGAGATGGTTTCCAAGTAGGAGTCACACTGGGTCATGGGCAAGTGTGGAAAAAACCCTGATATTTATAGAAAGAACTACAGTGGCAAATCTGTTATCTATAGCAGAGAGCAGTAGAGGCCAGTTTAGGAGGCTATGCTTAGTTTCCTGTACCCCCAAAATATCCCTGTTGAATGTTGAGTAGCTGGGCAAAAAAGGGTGGCTGGATTCTGTCATCTGCTCTGCATGCACTGTGATTATTGCACTCTGGGTGTTATTGCCAAGGGACAGCAGCAAGGCTGTTTCCTCCAGCAGCCACTCTGCTCACACCTGGCACAAGGAGAGGATGAAGAGCGGCTAGGAAAGGGTTGTGGCATAGCAGGTTTCCAGTCTCCACTGCAATTAAGGCATTATTCTAAACTCCAGCATATGCTAGAATCAGTCAGCAATAGATTGGGTTTGAACAGACCTGGGAAAATCTGGGCCTTTGTATCTCATTTCAGGAGTAAATTCTGCTAGCCTCAGCCTAGAAACCAACAGACTACAGACAGAAGAGGCTGACAGCCAAGCATGAAGCACTTATTTAATGTCTCATGCATAAACAGTCTGATTCTTCTCATACTTCAAGTTAAGCTTGTATTGAAGTGCTTTGCCTGTCTGGGTCCTGTTTTTCAATGCCTTGCCAGATCCAAGCAAGAGAAAGAAAAAGAATGACTAAAACAGTATGAAATACAGGCAGTCAATCTGGCCCAGAAAGTCTTATACCACATACTCTTCTTTTTAAAATCTCATTCTTCATAGTGAAAGGCTGGCAAACTCCACCAAGAAACAATTTTAAATCTTAAGTAAAAGGTCCTCTGAAAAGAGTTGTGTAAAAGCAATAAACCTTTGAGAGCTTTCACTCCAGAAGTCTTGCTGGGCTTTTCGGTAAATGGAAGTAAGAAGCCAGTCAAAGCACCTAAGTCATGCAACAATAAGTTCCTTGTGCATAGGCCCTCAAGGCTCAGTATTACAATAGGAATATGTGGCAGACTCAGGAGGACTCTATATCAAGTTAGACCACTGAAAATTATCATTTGTCACTAAATATAATAAGGAGAAAGATTACACGAATCAAACAGGCCTGGTTGTGTGTATGTTAAATAAGGAAAGTGACAGGTACTAATGATCCAGTGTCCATGGAAGTGCATGAATGACTGAAATAAAA